TGTTCTTCTATGCTTAATGGGTTCCTAATGCTTAATTTTAGGTTAGACAACAAATGATCAAATTAGGGAATTAGGAACACAAGGTTATGACCACACACCATGGCTTAATCATACTTTAGCTAGAATCAATCCATTAATCTAAATTGAACTTGGGAACTTATTTGCTTGAGTTACTTTCTTATTTTCTTCCTTCTTTCATGTTCTTTGTTTTTGTTTCTGTTTTGTGTAGGAAAAATGAATTGAATCATTCAATCACCAATCCTCGTGGGATCGACCTCGCACTTACATACGCTAAACTACCAACGGTTCGTGCACTTGCGAGTATCACAAGTTGAGGATGCAACTGAATCCATTTTGGTGCAGCTGTATCTACGCAACATTTAACACCAAGCAATCCCCTAAGATAGTTGAATCGATCTTTAGGCAGAGCTTTAGTGAAAATGTCAGCCACTTGTTCTTCAGACTTGCAGTACCTCAAGTCCACTACCCCATCTTGCAAAGCATCTCGGATGAAATGATACATGCGGTTGATGTGCTTAGTTTTCTGATGGAAAACAGGGTTCCTTGTCATGGCAATGGCAGAGGTATTATCTACCATTAATGGAGTTGCCTCAGTCTGCAATTCTCCAAAGTCTTCAAGCACGAATCTCAGCCATATAGCCTGTGTGGTAGCCTCACTTGCGCTGACATATTCAGCTTCAGCTGTAGAGAGAGCTACACTATGTTGTTTGACTGATGCCCAAGAGAATGCTCCACTGCCAAAAGAGAAAGCATAACTTGAAGTACTTCTCATATCATCTTGACTTCCACTCGAGTCACTATCACAGTACCCAATTAGGACAGCCTCCTTTCCCTTATGATATTCTATACCAAAATCAATTGTGCCTTGGATATATCTCAGCACCCTCTTAGCCGTTCCATAGTGTTTCTTAGTTGGACAATGGATGAACCTAGCTAATAAGCTAGCTGCAAACATAATGTCAGGTCTTGTAGCTGTCAAATACAGCAGACTACCTACAATCTGCCTGTACTCATTCTCATATGCAGGATCACTTCCATCATCCTTGCACAATTTTTCACTTGCCACAAGAGGAGTACTAACTGGCTTACATTGTTTCAAACCAAACTTGTTCAGCAATGTCAGAGCATACTTCTTTTGATTTATGAAAATGCAGGATTCAGTTTGAATCACTACCATACCAAGGAAATGATATAGAAGGCCTAAGTCAGTCATTTCATACCTTCTCATCATTTCAAATTTGAACTCTTCAATCAATTCCCCACTGCTTCCTGTATACACAATGTCATAAACATAGATTGAGACAATTAGAGTTCCTGAGTCTTCCTTAGTCTTGCAGTACAATGTAGCCTCGCTTGTGCTTCTGACATAACCACAGCTAATGAGATAGGCATTGATTTCCTCATACCAGGCTCTTGGAGCCTGTTTTAAACCATACAAGGCTTTCTTCAATTTGTACACCTTGTCTTCATATTTTGTAGTCGCAAATCCATCTGGTTGATCTACATAAACTTCCTCCTTAAGCACACCATTTAGGAATGCAGACTTGACATCTAACTGGTATAGTTTCCACCCCTTTTGAGCTACCAAAGCTATGAGAGTTCTAATTGTGTCAAGTCTGGCCACATGAGCAAAAGTCTCATTGAAGTCAATTCCAGGCTTTTGTGCATAGCCTTTGACCACCAGCCTAGCTTTATGCTTCTGTATTGAGCCATCAAGGTTCAATTTGGTTTTATAAACCCATTTCACACCAATCACTGGTTTATCACTTGGTCTATCAACTAGTTCCCAAGTCTCATTCTTCTCAATCATCTCCATTTCTATTTCCATTGCCCTTTACCAAGCCTTATCCTTTGAAGCTTCTACAAAATTCTCTGGCTCAATGATGCTCATATTGCATCTAGCATAGATCTCAGTGATGTCTCTAAGCTTCACAGGTGTAGAATTTGGAGAATCACTTGGTGAATCAGTATTAGCAGCAGCTGTAATCACTTGAATTGGGCTAGAGATGTTGTCTATCATTGTTTCTTCATATTCCTCTTTCAGAGCTTCTGGAAGTGTCTTCAAGCCTCATTGGAACTGTGATAGAATCAACAGTTTTCTTGTCCCAATCCCATAATGAGTTCACATCAAAGATCACACTTCTAGATGTAGTGACCTTGTTGGTTTGCAAATTGTACACTCTATACCCCTTTTCACATTTGCCATAGCCAACAAAAATGCATTTTTCAGCTGCATCCTCCAACTTAGATCTCAACTGACTAGGTACATGGCAGAAACAAATAGAGCCAAACACTCTTAAGTGCTTAACCCCCGGCTTTCGTCCACGAAAAGCTTCAAAAGGAGTGACATTATCTAAAGCTTTTGTGGGGCATCTATTCTGAATATAGACAGCTGTATTCACTGCCTCTCCCCAGAATTTGTATGGTAGTTTCTTTTCTTGCATCATTGTCTTGCTCATTTCCACAATGGTCCTATTCTTTCTCTCAGCAACTCTGTTTTGCTGAGGTGAATAGGCCACGGTTAGTTGTCTTTCCAAACCAATTTCTTCACAAAACTATAGAAATTCAGTGGAAGTATATTCCCCACCTCTGTCACTTCTTAGTTTCTTGATTTTGTAGCCACTTTGTAATTCCACCATAGCTTTGAATTTCTTGAAAATATTAAACACTTCTAACTTAAATTGCATGAAGTACACCCAACACATCCTAGTGCAATCATCAATGAAAGTCAAGAAATATTTGTTCCCACCTATTGTTGTAGTCTGCATTGGTCCACATACATCTGAATGAACCAGTTCCAGAGGTACACTAGCTCTCCAAGTTTTCTCTTTACCAAAGGCCTCCTTGTGAGATTTTCTAATTGCACAGTCTTGGCAAATTCTGTCTGCATTGCCAATTTCAGGAAATCCATAAACGAGCTCCTGTTGTTGTAACAACTTCAAGCTTTGCAAATTCAAATGACTAAACCTCCTATGCCAACACCAAGTGGATTCTTCAATTGTTGCTTTCATAGCCACAGAGGTTGCATATTTTAATGAGAGTGGGAAACATCTGTTTCATGTCATGGAAACCTTTGCCACCAGATTTTCCATTGACCTGTCATCAAATATCTCCACCATTGAACTCCCAAAAACCAGATAATAGCCATGTTCTACCATCTGACCCACACTAAGTAAGTTCTCATCCAACCCTGGTACAAGCATGACTTCTTTAATATGTCTAGGCCCAGATTTAGTGTCAATTATCAGAGTTCCTTTACCAGTTGCTTGCACCAAGTCACCAGTGCCCATTTTTACCTTTGCAGTGACTTTGGTATCAATGTCAACTAGTAGAGATGCATGTGAAGTCATATGGTTGCTGCATGCACTGTCCACATACCACACACCATTATTTTTCACTATTTCAGCAGCATGACAAGCATAGAACATTGTACCTTCTTCCTCCTTATGTGTTGCATAATTTGCAGATTGATCAGATTTTCCTCTGCAGTCTTTGGCTATATGACCAAACCTATCACACTTGTAGCACTTCGGTTTACCTTTGAACCAACATGCACCATAGTGCAGTTTGTCACAGGTTTTGCAGGGAATTTTGGCTCCCTCAGTCTGATTTTCTCTCTTGGCATTGTTTTCAGACTTTCCATCCCACTTCTTCCCTTTATGAGATTTCCAATTCTTCTTGGATTTAGAACCTCCTGCCTGCCCTGAGTGTGATTGGTCTTTAGAGTTCACATATAGACTAGAGAATGCCTTCTCAGTCACTCTCTCATTATGCCTTTGCAGTCGTTGTTCATGAGATTTTAGAGAGCCTATAACCTCTTGAACCCTTATAGATTATGTATCCTTTGTTTCCTCTATAACTTCAGCAATATTCTCGGGATAAACTAATCAAGAGTTTCTGAACAATTCTCTGTTCAGTTAACTCTTCACCATAAGCCTTCATTTGATTTACCAGCTCAAGCAGTTTAGTGACATACCTAGACAATGATTCATCATCATGCATACGAGTGTATTCAAATTCTCTTCTAAGAGCTTGAAGTTTCACAAATCTCACCTTCTTATCACCTCTGAATTCTTGTTGTAGGATCTCCCATGCTTCCTTGGTTGACTCTTTCAATGCAATTATGGGGAAGATGTCGTCAGAAACTGCACCTTGGATCAGTCCCAAGGCTTTACCATCCTTTGCAACGTTCTCTTCCAAAGCATTACCTATGAGGTTAGCAGCAGTTCAACTAGATTCATTTAATTTCTTATTTGCAATTTTGTTTTAGTTTTTTAATCAATCTATACGTTTGTCTTGATTGGTTAAATCAAAAGGTCAAATTCATGTCGTTTTAGAGGATGTTTCTAATTTGGGTTCGTTGTAAATTGTAATTGTTTGCATAATATGAGCTGGTTTTTTTTTTCTTGTTTGATCTGGGCGTTTTGACTGATGAAATGGGTCTTTTTATGCAGGAGAGGGATCTCAAAATTCTATAACTACAAATCCAAGTCCTTCACGAGTCTGGCAGAGGCTTCATCTTCTTCCAACATCAAAGACCTTGCAAAACCAGACAATGCATATGCCAGAAAACGCAGGAACCTACTTGCCTCCAATCACATGTGGGAGATGAACCGAAGCTTTCCACTGAGAAGCAATGGGGGCAGGATTTCAAAGAGACCCATCTCAACGAGTCGAAGCACATTGGCTTTGGCTATTAAATTGAGCAGCTGTGCTGAATTACAGGGGATTTTACCTTAATGCCCCTCCACTTATTCAATAACTAACGGCAACGACTGATGCCCTAATAGAGCTAAAAGGAATCTGACGGAAATTGAGAAGTGTCCTCGAATTGCTTGGACTCTTAAACCACAGTGGCAAAAGTGACGAAATTGAAACCATAGGGACCTTAGTGGTAAAAGTTGGAAACCACAGGGACTACTAGTGTCGTTTTGCCAAAGCGTTTATGATTGCGCTTGAAACACCAATATATTTTTGAGTCTGGAATATTCATAATTTTGAGATACATTTTCATTCCAATCCAATTCTTTTAGGAATTTTCGGCCATTTGATTTAATTTGGACATGTCAAAGTTGAAAATCTTTGGATCCAAATTGGTGGCAATAGGAATTTTCAATCCAACTTGCACCCTACTCATATCAAGGACAAAGCTCAATAAATATCCAAAAAGAGAACCACACGCATTAGGTAGGACATATATCTCACTTCTATCAATTTCATTTCATTATACTCGAACATTCCAATTTCAATAAGAGACAAAGACCTTGACTCGAGTGCATGAAAACGCCAAAGTCTTTCTTCCCCAAACCGTCTTGCAATCAAGAAAAGAAGAGTGATATATATGAAAGAAGATACTGGAAAGACTTTTCAAAGTCAGAAACTTCGTGATGAAGCCTTGTGAATTTATTGTGAAGACTTCTTCTTTATTTTGGCTCTTACTTTGTCAACTTATGTTCTTATCTTTTCAAGAATCTTCCTTACAATTGTGCGCTAAGTTAGCTTCTTTGTTTTTGAGTGACCATAATACAACCATGTTTATGAGGGGAAAACAAAAGAAGAAATTATTGCCTGCATATATACTGAAACAGAAGATAATTAAATCAGACAAGGAAAATGATAATTAATTAAAGACCATGTCTAGTTACCACCCAAATCATCAAAGCTGCAAGTCAATTAATTGTGCAGTTAGGACTGGTATAGGGTGTGTCATGAGACATGGACTAGTGGAATCATGGTTCATGAGACATGGACTAATATCAATTTTCTTGAAACACCATCTCAAAAACTTAAAAAATAAACGGCTCCGGTCAATGAAGTATAATTTGTAGTATACCACACAAGGTCTCTCAAATAATTCATCAATAAATGACTTCAATGTATCAACACACAATTACACTCTCCCTTGCATGGATGGTGGAGATGAAAGAGATAAACATTATCAATATTGTCTCGGATTTGTGTCGTGGCTCCCAGATTTTGGGTCCAAGGTCAAATAGACGAAGTAGTGGGATTATATATCCCACCTTTTTGGCAGGATAAGTTATCCTACAAAAATACACATAATGGAAATTATGGCGAGATTATTATTTATCCTATCCACATTCATTATTGAGCACCAAACATGGCATTAGATTAAGCTAATACAATCCTACTACTTATCCTAATTACAAATACACTTTTTT